TGGTAGATACTTAACTGAAGGCCAACGTCTGAGTAATATGCAAGTTTCAGACTCCAACCTCTCACTCAAGACCCCGTGAAAAGTAGAAATAGTTATTTTGTTACCTGGACAATTAACATTTGTGTCGCTTTAGTTACAATAACGAAGAATCAGTGCAAAAGAATTTCTACGATAAGCTCAAAGGAATTAAATCTCAGATACGCTTGTGGAGTTGGAGAGGCCTCTCTCTGTTTGGTAAAGTTACAATTATTAAGAGTTTACTACTTCCTAAAGTTTTATACATCTCGTCAATTCTTCCTTCTCCTTTGGAGTTCATAAAGGCCCTTCAATCAATTATATATAATTTTCTTTGGAAGGGTCCTGATAAAATCGCCAGGACAGCAGTAATAAATGATGTTGAATTTGGTGGCCTAAAGGTAACTGATTTTACAACGTCAATTATGTCACTCCGACTTTCATGGATTGGAAGATTTCTAAGCGATAATTTTTATCCCTGGAAAGCGTATCTATTACATTTACTAAAACCTTTTGGTGGAGAATTTTTTTTTCTTCATTGTGATTATAATATTAATGACTATAACATTTCCCCAATATTTTATAAGGAGATGTTACACTGGTGGTCAGATTTTCGTTCTAAATTTGATCTTGTAAGTCTACGTGAAACAATCATCTGGAACAATCATAACATTAGAGTAAACGGCAAACCTTTATTCTATTATAATTATAATAGCGCAAATATTATTCTTTTAAGCGACTTAAAATTTGATTTGAGTAACACAGAGTCCTTTAACCTTGCAAAACGTAATGGTTTAAAAGATTCCAACTTTCTGACCTGGACTGGTGTTCGTTGCGCAGTACCAAGTCATCTAAGAATTCGATGCCACGAAATTAAGAAAGATCATGTCAGATCACTGCAATTTAAAATCGGTGATAAAATCTTTGATCCAGCACTTAGCAAGTCTAGGGATTTCTACGGTTTGCTATATATCCAGTAAGGCGACAGAGTCCAGAGGCTTCACAAAGTTGAAATCTAAATTTTCTATTGATGATGTGGAAACAAAAAAGGCCTTCTCATTAATAAGGTCCTGTATCTGCGAGACATATGTGCAATGCTCTCAATTTAAAATACTAAATGACATTTTATTCACAAATTCCCGCTTAGCTAAGATAGGTTTAATACAAAGCGATCTTTGCACTTTTTGCAATACTAGTGCGGAAACAATTGATCACTTATTCTTTTACTGTGTTTACTCACATGCATTTTGGGAAGAATTTGAATCTTATTGGATCGCTATAGCCAAAGAACAAAGGAAACTTGAGTTAAAGACTATTTTAATTGGTGTCACAGATACTAATTGTTCTTTATTTAATTACTTAATCGTTTTAGGTAAGCTACATTTATGGAATTGCCGTAGGAATAATAGTCTTCCTTTTTTCCCTTCGTATAAGGAACTAGTTAAAAGAAAATATGAAACTGAATGTCACATTGCGGCTAAGTTTAATGATAGGAAGATGCTAGAGGCTAAATGGAAACCCATTTTGAATTATAATTTAATAGATACATAGGTGTGTAAGCGAAAAAAAAAAAACTGAAAAAAGTAGGGTAAGAATTGCAGTCTAAGAAAGCATTATATAGTAAGTAGAATAAGTAACGTCTTGTAGGTGGTATTGTAAGTAGTGTTCGTCTTGTTTTGTAAAGTAGTGTTCTTCGTGTTGCAATTAAAAAAAAAAAAAAAAAAAAAAAAAAAAAAAAAAAAAAATTTGTGTCGCAGCTCCTCCTTTCTGTAGCTCGTCCCAGTCTCCATCGTTGTCGATAGCATGTTCGTCCTCCATATTTTGGCGCGGGATTGGTACATGTTCGAGAGCGCTGCTGAGATCCTACTCCACACGACCTGCTACACATACTCCATGTACCCCATGAAGAGTAACCTCCGTCAACTGATAAGAAAAGTGTTAAGTGGTCAAATAACACTCGTATCAGAAAAAAAGAAACTATAATACCATTCGAAGCTGAAATGAAATGGTTATGAAGATGGGACGTGTTTAAGTTTGGCAAATAAAGTCATTTGTGATTTGTTCGCATTTTGTCATATGTATGTTACAGACCGAAACTTGCCTTTGAATAAATGAATAGTTATTCATAGAGTTCTTGGGTAACATCAGACTGAAGTTACCAACTTGTTGGCCCAAGCCTTCAAATGTGAACGATCGAACTTTTTGAGATAAATAATTTAAACCCGCATCGCACCAATAAGTTCTTACTCCATTTTGTAGATGTTTCCTTCTAATTTTACCCCTCGTTTTAGTGACTTTTTTAACTGAAGACCTTCCCCTCCCCCTTCTACTAATACCGTTCATTAATGTAGATACTTCTCTCACGCAGGATTCGTTTTGACTTTACATTAAATCTTTACCTGGGCACGAATGTGTGTTACATGGCTGTGAATCTCTCCTATTTCCCGCACAACCTCTTCCACCATTTGCCGGTTGGGGGTTGCTGCAAGTCCGAGATCGCGTTTTAATCCCTCCTTCACATCTTTTGCTGCAGGCGGACCAGGGATTCCATTGTTGCCAGCCCCCGTGAACTGGAATATCTAAAATTAGAATTTATGAACACAAAACTATTAGTATGGAACTGATTTTATTGATGAATTATGGAGTCACCGAACGTTGATGGAAAACTTGCGTCGCATTTGTGGGCGTGAGCGCCAACATATGGAAATTTTTTCGTTCTGACGAAGACAACAAAGTTTTGTGACGGCTTTTCCCTTACAGGAATGAATAGCTTCATATAGCAAACTATGTGTGAACATGCTTCTGAAAAGGTATGAAACGAGGCTATCGTAAGATGGGCCTACAGCTCACCCGAATATACTAATGCTTACAAAATAGGTAATACCAACAATTTTCGTTTGCTGATTGATGGCGGTTGTGTTAAATACACCCAAATACAATACAGAACAAGTTACGTAAGTGCCAGAAAGTATCAAGGTGTACAGCAATCTGTCAAAATGTACCGAATTACAAAATTTTACTCCCAATTTCTACAGGTTTGGAGAAACAACTTTTAAACGAAGGATTCTTCAAGCAAAAATACTGGAAGGTATAAGTGTCAGGCGGTAAGAAAGAGAGCTTGCGATTATATTGATAGCACTTCAATCCGAGATTATCGTGAAACTATATTCGCCATTTCTAAAGAAGATCCTTAGTCTAATAGCATTTATCAAGGGATTATAAACTTTTGTTTTTCTATATTTACCCACTCCTATAAAACAGGAAATGGTACAAAAAAAATCTTGATAAATTGCAGCGGAGAATGGCTCGTTAAGAGAAAACTTGAATCGGATATGGGCCACTAAACTCGGACAGGCACGTAGCTAGCTTTTCTTCTTGTTGTAGGCGTGTACCTGAGAAAGTTCAATTTTTGTTTCAAAATTTGCAAGAGTCATATTATAAAAGTCGAGCATGTGGAAAAAATAATTGCAGGCCTGGAACAAAGGTATGTGAGGGAATATGATTATTTTTCAAAGTTTGTCAGCCTGACTACTTAATTCAGTTGTATCTTCTTCTCCCACATTTCACTAGAAATCACGTGTAGTCCATTCAAATGGTGTTTTAGACCAAGACAGGACCTCGTGTACTCTCGCTTTAGTTCTAGGATAGCTCAAATGACTCTAAAATAGTAGTTACGTATCTGATCAGATGCGAAGAACTTTTAACGACGATACGTACCTCTTTTTCGTCCTTCGATATCAACTGTTTTTACTCTCTTTATATTTCTATCAACATGACGGTTATCTGCGAGAGGGTCGTCTCTGGTTCCAAACAGGAATAACGTCAACGAAAAGATGCGTCCTGTTGATTAATCAACACCAGTAAACATTTATCACCTAGGGGGAGGGGGGGAGGATTTTTGGCTGTGTGGCGATAAATTCACCTGATTCCCCCATAAGACTATGTAATATTCATAGATTCATGTGAGCCCCGCTTCCCATTAGCAGTTAATTGACTCCCCCCTCTTTAAGGCCACAAATAACAATAACTGTTTCCTGAAAGAATGTATAAATAAATAAACAACTAAGCAAGTAGTTAAATGAAGAAGGGTGGGGTGGGGGTGGAATTCTGCTCCTTATGTAAAAGGTTCAGTGCAAGAGGGGAACAAGAACTCAAATTTGAATAAACCAAGGACAATATTAAGCCAAGAAAGAAAAACTGTTGCTCAAGCCAGTTAATGTGTAGTTTATGAGTTTGTCTGTTTTTCTCAAGATCTTATCTCGCGACCTAATGATACATCCTGATTACTTCAAAGTCCATGTTTCTCACTCGTTATCAAGAAGCTGCAATGACAGGTAAAACATACTTTTTTGTGTCTCTTATCACTGTATTAAGTGCGGAACTGATCAACAGAAGACAACGCAATTGCATAATTTGTTTTCTAAGTTTCGCACTGAATAATACAAAACAGAAACTGCAAACCTTAACCATTACTTTTGAGCACTCACCACCAAGGCGAACAATGAGTGATAGGCCCGTAATGAGAGCTCAGAAATAATGGCCAAGGTTAGAGGCAGACGACAAAACTGGGAAACAAATGCTTGCAAAGTCATTGTGGTGAGTAAACTCCTAAGCATTTATAAGTTAATCAGAAAGGAAAATCATCAATTTCTCTCAGATTGAAAAACGTGTTATTCGTATCCTCGCTTTGCTTGTACCAACAACCTTTCCTTCGCACCCCTGCTTTCCATTTACATTCTTAATGAAAAATCAATCTAGTATTACCTTTTCTTCCGGTCTTACGTTGTTGTGTACTTCGTATCGTTATATTCCAGTCTCCGGCAGGATTCTCTCCCCAGTAGTGTAAACTAGTGACTTTCCAGTTTGTCAAGTTGTTTTTACTACTAAAAGTATCATAAAGTCGTGAATAAAGGAGCTGGGAGTTTGTTCCACCTGGTGATTTAGAACTGAGTCATCTCCAAGTAACCTCGACCAGGAAATTTGGGCTACATTTTTACTTGAACGTGCTCCAGGAATCGGATGCCACAATTGTGTTTGTTTGCGGTGAAGGTTAGGTTTAAATCTCCAGTTGAAGGAATCAAAGTTGGTGCAGACCTTAAAAAGGTTTGAACACGAAAATTAGTGTACAAAGATTCCCTTCAATTATTAGAGGTTAATTGCACAACTCTTTGTTAGGTCCTCTGTGTTGATTTAACAAAACAAGGTGGAATCTGTATGGTTTTCCTTTATGAAATTTCAAACACCAACGGGCAGAGGATCGATACATGTGGATCATTCACCCAACTCTAACTTCAACTGATAAACTACCTGACTCTTTCTCATCAATTGACTTGCGTGCAGTATCAAGTAATATAATTTAACATCAAAAATAACGTTCAAACGATGGGACACAGCTACCTACTCATTGATTGTGTGTTTAATTTCACAAGACAGTTGCTCCGGAACAGAAACCCAATCCTCTGCATATGTAGTCATCAATCTGGCATTCATCAGTCCAAACCCATAATATTTGCTGACTAAAATAAAAAAATTAAATTCTTTGTTGTTTCAAAAAATCCAAGAAAAGAGTAAAAACAGTTTACTGTGGCAATGTTATGCGAAAACCGAGTCCAAAGGACTTGAACAGACTTGCCGAAAGTAGTTTTTGTACCACAACCGTGCAATGAATGACAGAAACGTGAATTTATCATTAATTGGAAATAAATAGACGTGTCCCAAGGCGAAGGTTTGCTAAATTGTGCATCCTTTGTAAACAAGCCTACTTGCAGGAGTGCAAAACTCCTTTATCGCCACTTAGGTTGCCCAAAAGTTACCTGTAGAATCATTTTGAATTACAACATATGAAGAAAATATACCCTCTCTAGCAAGCGAATTTAGTTTTGTTTTTGATGATATGGGTGAAAGGTATAAGGTAAGGTTACTAGTAACCTCAGTCTTGTCTATTTTATGAGGAAAAATAAGTGCACGCCATTTCTAAAATATCCTCGCTGTTCCCCAGGATGCTGGATATTTGCCTTAGTTCCCTAACTATGCGGTAAGCAAGTAAGCATTTGACTCAGCACCGTTTGGCCACAATAGGTAAAAAAATAAGTACTTACAAAGTGAGATCTTAGGTCGGGATGATTCATGTTAACTTCGTCGTCCACAACAGCCACAAGGACTCCTTTGCCTGTATACCCAGCATCCCAAGCGGACTCGACATCCATTGAAACTCTGGTGTCTTTCTATAAAGAAATTGCGCTGTATAAGCATCGCATATTATTTTTTCAATTCAGAGGCAACTCCAATTGAGGTCTATAACAACTAGAAATAGACAGTAAATATTGCGAGTTTTCTCCAGTCCCCAGCTTCTTGGCCTGTGCCGATTCTGCGCGGCGACTCTTGAGCAACTTTTGCGGTTCTGGCAACCTCGATCAATTTGTGCCTTTTAGAGCAACTTTTGAGCGAAATATACGTTTAGAACACATATTAAGCGCAAAAAGGCAACCATTTCATAAAAAACCTGAATGTATGCGAATTTCATGAATGTTAATCAACCTTTTGAACACACTACCGGTCACTTGACAAAGTTTGCAGGCCAATGTCAGCTATTATTGCGAAGAACGACAGATAAATCTTTTAAATAATGTACATGTAAAAATATCAAGATTTGGGATTTTTGTCAGTTTTTTTTCTTGGAAGGTTTATTGAAATGATAACAAAATCGTGTGCTGTTGGCGACCGCAACCTTGCGAAAGGACTGGATCAAATTTTGTTTCAGGTCTAAAATTAATGTTGCTTAAAAAATTTTAAATCATGAAAATTAGGAACTCTTTTTGGTTAGAATCCTCATAAGTGAACTTACCAAATACCATTGCCAGTCTCGCATGTCCTCTGAAAATTGAATGTTTCTTTTGACCTGATTTTATTCAAAAGAAGAATATCATGATCACAACCAAAATTAACAATGATAATAAACTGAATGGAGTGCAGTTTGGCCTAACATCATACGAGTGATTAATTTTAAATTACAAGTATGATTTCAAACCAAAATTGCATGACACGAATTTTAATCTGGACTTTATTATATCCATTTTGAAATCATAAAATTCAGTTGCTCAAACAGAGGATTTTTTTAGTCTGTACAAATAAATTCTTATTTTTGCTTTCCGAGAGGTCCGCGTAAACTGGGTTAACATTTGTCTGATCTTCGCAAGAAACGACCATTCTTTGATTGCTTTGCGTGACTCAAAGTTCTTCACAGAAAACAAACAGTTACGCTTTTTGTAAATATGCGAAAAGAACCATGGAACGCAAAGCTAAACGTTACACGTGTAACTTAAAAGTCGCCGTAACTTTAGGCGACTTTGGGCGACTTGAGTCGCCTTAAGTCGCCTTAAGTCGCCTTAAGTCGTCCTAAGTCGCCTTAAGTCGCCTTAAGTCGCCTTAAGTTGCCTAAAGTCGCCTGAAGTTACCTTAAGTCGCCTTAAGTTTCCTAAGGTTGCCATTGGTTACGCAATGTCATAAGGGTTTCACCCTTCCCAATTGACCTTATCCACTCCACTTCAATCATAGTTTTCTGCAGCTAGAAACGTAGTAGGAGAGACTGGATAGGAAGTAGTTTTATGAAGTCACTTCTGTATTCAAATACAAGACTAGTTGTTTAAAGAGAGGTTCTATTAATGTTTGCACTAACTTAGTAACATGTTCTCTGCGGAGTTGCTAATAAGCTTGTTCGAGTTTAGGATATCGTTCATATCAATTTGTTATTCATACGCGAGGTGCTAAGGTTGATTGCGAAGAATTGAATAACCACTGGCTGTGCATATGAGATAAAAGGAGAAAGATTAGTCCCTACAATTAAACTATTACAGAAGCCAATATAAAGTTCACATTATGGATGGTAGGCATTTTCCTCCTGGTAAAACATCGCTGAAAATGTCATTGCGATTAGAGAATGTAAAGTAGCCTCAAATACTGGACTTCCATCATAAACGGGTTTTGTGTTACGACGGGTTTTTTCCCCCAATCCTAAGATAGTACTTTCTCTCATAACGACGGCTAATCAGCGTTATTCACGAATACATCGGAAACATTCACTGAATTACCTCGCCCATAATTTTTCGTCGTTCTTAGGAGTATTTTCACTTTCAAGTCGTAAATGATGCGATTTTACTGTCGGAATTCAAAAGGAGCATCAAGTATTTAAAGGAACGCTGCGATTGATGGCCAGCAGCCGAGCATTTTAGTATGCTCTCTTAGTGTGCTCAAGCTCGGAGATATGATTTCTCTACTAAATCGAAGGGCTCTTGGAGCCAGCTCATTCGTGTTATGGCTTAAGTTTGCATTGATTTCTTGGACTTGCTAAATTTAGGTACAATTGAATTCGGTTTATGTGAACTTTCAAGACTTTTGGAATAAATTTTCTTTTATATTTAGGCAGTTGTGTGATGAGGAAACTTATGCATTCGTCGTTATGGGAATTGGTAAAAAGGTTGTGTTGGCTGGAGGTGGGATGGGCTGAGGTCATTAGGCAGACAGCGTCCTTTTTGTTGGTGTGTGTGTTTGTGGGGCGGAGGGTGGGCTGGGTGGGCATAGTCAGGCATCAAATGTTGCTCTAGCAGCAAAATATTAGTAACCCTCATCTTTCACGATCATTTGCACCATTGTGAAATATTCCTTGCCCGTTTCTTGATATCTTTTGTTTTAAACAAAGCGGTCATTGCATTTGATTTTTAACAAAGCGGCCACAATCGTTCTTGATAGAATTTCAAGCCTTCATATAATCTGATTTTCACATATTAATATTTGCGTAGTCACCAATTGCAAACCGATGGGAGATAAAACCATCACAAAAGTAAACAAATGGCCAGTCACGAAGGCAACGCTTCGCTTTCCCTATAAAAATTCGCCAGTTCCTTATGTAAGTAAATAACTATATAAGGAACATGGGAAAATCAGTGTGTATACACCCCTGAACGTTGAAAATATATTAAGTCAAAGGAACAGTTTTTGTCTCGCTTCGCATTTTTGTCAACAAAACGAGCACATATCTGTTAAAAAGATCAAACATGTGGACCGCGTGCAAAGCTGTCAATTGTTTCTCGCATATTGCGCGTGTATTCGATAGTGGCACCTCATTTACATCTACATCTACATCTTCTTTTATCAAGTTGGTAAATTGGGAATATATATAGACTGTGTTAGTCACATATTACGCCGTTATCTAACTACCGGAAAAATAGTATAAAATTCTCAGTCTGCATTTTGTACCTAGTCGGCATTTTGTACCCGGTCTGTAGTCTGCATTTTGTATTGACCGGTATTGGTATTGCTGTTTTTGTTCGAGGGAGCCTCAAGTCCGGACCGAAATATTGGGGCTCGAAAAAAAATCTTAGTGGGACTATCTTGGCCGCTATGATTGATGTGTGGACTGTATGTTGAAGAGCTCCCGAGGACGAGCACAATGATAGAGCAATGATTACTTTATACCAACTGAAGACGAACGCAAATGCGCGGCTTAACAATATGGTTACCTCTGATACCCTTCTGCGTGGTCACAGTGTGTGTTGAAATGAACCCGCTACCGGTCCCCTAGGTGTGAACATTTCGGCTTCTCGGTTCAAGTTGCATTTTTAGAGGTTCGGAAATGTGATTTTAGGTTATTATTTTTGTTAAACCATGAAAACATTTTATTTCTTTCAAGTGAGTTTCTGAGCGTCATCGAAATTAATTTTGACTTTTACTAAGTGGGGAGGGGTAACACGCGATAATACTTCCGCTCACGATCTACATTTTAGCTCATTCATTGCTTTCAGCATGAATGTGCTAAAAACTAAATTAATTTTTAAAATCGCTTGACATTTCTTAACAAAAATCGAATACTCTTCAGGAGTTTGAGGGAACCTTTCGATGGAAAATCTGTTAAAATTTCTGACTGGCGGAAATTTAGTCTACTTGAGACCATGCCTGCTTACCGTGCATTTAGTCACAGCGTTAAAGGAAAGAATTAAAACAAAGGGGCGGACGGAAATTGGACAAATTATCAAAGCGAAAGTGACCCGTAACGCAAGTTTCGAGCCTCTTTGTTTTGGTTACATTACAATATTGTATTGACCTCTCCCCATTGAAGGTCAACCTTACATCAAAATATTGATATAGGACTTAATCAACTGTTAAAACAAACACAGGGATAAATTTACTTTTATCACTCAGTTCTATAGCCCTTGGAGACAGGATAAGATTTTTCAAAAAATTTAAAAACTCACATTTGTTTTCATTTTTTCCACGTATGAGGGGGGTTCCCAAGCCAAATGATAAGGTCGATGGTGATTTAAACGCGAGAAAATCCACATGCTTTTTCTGTTATTTACTGTAAGGCATACATTGTCAAACATGTATGAGTATATTCAACTGCTCTAGAGTTCCTTTTAGATGAATTAGCAACGAAACGATATAGGACGATCGTAGCCTATTAGTTAAATACAATATCCATGGTGAACAACAGGGAAATTGGTTATCGTAACAATAAATTTTTGTGATCTTGCAGACGGCCAACAAAAGTTAGCTTAAGATTATTTCGCTGTGAATGGAAGTGCTTTCAATTTCTCAAACAAACAATCGATGGAATGTGGATTTTAAGAATCCGTGTGAATAAGGCTGAAAATTCACCGTTAAGTTACCACGAAACTGGGTTCTATTCCCGACCATCCTCGCTTACTTTTGGTTATTCTTAGTATTTCGGTGTTTTCTATTTTCACGCTTCCTCTCCCTTCCAATGTAATCCTGAATTTCACCGCATAAAAAGAGTGGGGCAACCGGCGACGAATATCCCGTTTCTCAATCTTTCGAATTCCTTGTAGCGGGTCTAAATTACTTTTTTACTAATCGCTCATACCAACACTTAATTATACAAACACGCCATCACGAGGGGGAACGTGTTGTGACTCAATGTTAGACTTGTTTTTGAGAAAGACGTCAGTAACAAGTTAACAAAAATATGTTAATATGTTAGTATGGTTGTACGTCAGAAGGAACAAATACTTTGCGATCGGTTCGAAACAGACTATTTACTTTTTATTCCTTCCCTTTTATGTTAAAACTGATCGACCAGAATACATAATTTGCAGTCACGTATATACGTTGGAACCATTTTCTCATTAATATTGGGGGGAGAGAGTGGGTAGAGAGTGAGTATCCTTCAGCGAAAAGGGGACTTAAGAAACAGCAAGTCAGCTAGCACTTCCTGTTGTCGTGACTAGCGAATTGTCACTCATGATGATGCAACTGTCAACATTTGACAAAGATGAGGAAGTAATTTTCGCTGGGATGGTATCAAAATGTCATTTATATAGTTATAGTACATAAGGAAGAAAGCTTTTAGGATTCCATCATGCCTACACTTTTTTACACAAACGCGGAAACAAAAGATAGAACGCGTTAACCTCGTACTTGGGCGGATCCACAACGTTCCGAAAAGGGGGCCGAAGAAATTGTGGCTTGAGCCTTGTAACAGTTGGCAGTCTGTGACGAAATAGATAAAGGATATCGTGCCTGCGCAGAAATACGAACTTTCTCTTCAAGTGTTAAAAAATATTTTACAATGCGCGCAGCGTACGAAGGTTTATATTCTCCAACAAGGGAGGAACACTTAACAATAACCCGTGTGAGGAAAGCGGCAGTAGGGAAATGAAACAAAGAGAAGAAGGGGGGAGGGGGGCGGGGGTTCGGCAGAGGAGTTTGACTAATGGTTGCGTGAAAAGCTGAAGCTTGCATTCTTAAGCCTTCAAGCATGACAGCATGACAAACCAAAATACATGGCTAAGCCCTTACTAACCAGGAATAAGGAACAAGATATTCTGGAAGGGTGAAAGGGCAAAAGCCGAGATAACAGCGTGAAGCAGTTAGAGAAGAAGACAGGTGTGCACGAAATTCGAAGGGTAATTTTCGGGGAGGGGGCGCAACTAGAAACTCGCGTTGCCAAAAAAGAAAGTAAGAAATAAGGGGGAAAAAAGGAAAACTGTTGAGAAAACGCGTTTCAAACGAATCGCCTTGAACAGATGTTTAAGCTTGTTGTCCCCATTCTGAAAAAAACCACGTCTTCGGATCCGAAGGTCTGAGGTTCGATTCCTCATGGGGACTCAGAATTTTTTCTGTCTCACGCTCGTGACAAGACGAAAAAACATCTTTCTTAATTCCTTACCGAGCTCAAAACTTATCATCTCTACTATTTCTATCTAAAATAAAGCGTGTTCATGGTAACAAACTAGTCGGGCAAAGAAGAATTTTGGTGTCGTGGTAACCATAAACGTATTTCTGAGATACTGGGAGACGTAATTAAGTGTTACAAAACCAGTAAAATTAACGCTTAATTATGCACGCTTTGTCATGCATGAGCACCCCCCAAACAAACAAACAAACAATCACAAAAGAAAAGCAAATAACACTATCACAAATACCCAAATAAGACCCGCGAGCTGAAAGGCGCGACCCGTGATCATTATTCAAACTCTTCACAGAATTCTTTTTTCCGCGCAAGGTTGCTTGCTGATGACAAACCTACTCGGTACATGAGCAAGAGCACTAGTATCCAATTATGCTCGATAACACGCAAAAAAACTGTTCTTCAAAGTAAAAGTGTAAAACGATGCCTTCAATTTATTACTTTTCCAAATATCTACAACTTTGTCAGCGTTTTACATCGATAATTTAACTGACAAGTAAAACTGGTGGTTCAATAAGTTATGTAAAATTCAAGCATTACAATAATAAGCAGAAAACATACGTTACGATTTTTATCCAAAATTAAGTTATGAAGTCTATATATTTGGTGTAGTCAAGCGTAAGTGCTCCCACAAGGAACCTATTTTCACATGTTTAACATGTTTACTCCCTCCTTAACACTACAATCAAAATGTGAAGGTTTCAGACCCTCTTGAACTTTGAAATTCATTAAAATATAATTTTTGGTTTCTTTTGAAGACAACTCTAAATATTTGCGTAAATCTACACAACAAAGGGGAACTAGCCGTGAATTAGCCCCTCTCAGGAGCTAATTCATAGGAATTAACCGTGAATTAGCCCCTTTGAGGAGCTAATTCACGGTTTTAGCAAAATTGTCAAGTTTGTCATTTCCATTTGTAAATCTCCTCCATCCCTCGCCTTTCAAATTCTTATTTGCTTCTTATTCAGCATTTCTTCTTTAATGTATGACAAATCTAAGAAACCGTAAACACTTTTTTCGTCAAATCAATGGAGGTTTTCAACGACCCAATCTTCTTAATTCCTTCCACAAAACCTATACGCTATTTACTTTTCTACAAAAATTACCTTCATGTGTACATCTTTCGAAGAATCAAATTTTCAACAAACATTTGAGGCAGAGCTATGTGCCTTTAATATATTATTTCGATATCATTCCCTGAACAAAACGTGCTTATATTAACGGAGCTGGGCCTTGCAACTTAACACCATATCGGTGCTGACAGTTTTTTTTCCTTTATTAGCTAATACGAATGTCAACGCTGAAATCGCAAATAATTTTAACGCGTGAAACGCTTAGGAATTAACTTCTACGGCAAAAGTTCGCATCTTTTCCTGTTCGTTCAACCAATGGATTTTGGGGCAAGTGGTTGGTTCGCGAATAGAAGGGACAACTGGACATAATCAAAACCAAGTCCGTTTAGATGGCATAAGACCTGAACGTAGCCCCGCTTCAAATAATAAATAATCTTACCAAAAACGAAATACACCATAACACTTGATATTTTTCTTCTGATCTAAACCATATCTCCTTGAGGATTTTTCCCAGGACACCTTGTTGACTGATAATCAATTTCCTTGTTATCAGATTCTTGATTATCTTTCGTCTTATTTTTTCTCAGACAGCGGCAATAACATTTTCCGGCGATGGACAGCAAAGTCAAAGCACATACAACAGGTAAGACAATTTTGACGATCCTCATCAATGGAACTGTGTAAAAAATAATGATAACAATACTGATAATAAAATTAATAATAATAATCATGATAATCATTATCATAATAACAATAATTAGAAGAATGATAGTGATAATAATAATGATGATAATAATAATAACGATAATGATAATTACAATAACAGTAATAATTAGAAGAAGAAGAAGAAGAATACTGCTAATAATAATGATGATAATAATAATTATTTAATAATAATTACGCCGCCAGAAAGCTTTTAACTTAGTGAGCTTGTGCTGAGCGCAAACAGTTTGCCAGCAGTTTTGTCAACAACAGAGTCACAAACTGTTCTAGGAACAGAAAATGTCCGCGGACAAACATTCGTGCATATTTTAGCGCCAAATGGGGGCTATTGTTTATTCATCTGATCTCATGGTTCCTTTACCTTCCTGTTCTGTGAGCTGTACATGGTTCTAAACGACCCAATCTTTTCAGAGAGAAATTCGTGTCCCACGAAGCCATTGGACAACTTTCCTTTACCCGTGCTATGTATGATGGAAGTCATTACTTAAATATAAAACAACAACAACAGCAACAAACAAACCTATGAGTGCAACAAAAAAAAGATTAAGCTACCTTGTTCGGTTGGTTTGGATGTTGGTGAAGGTTCCTTCCTTGTGCTTCCTGTATTCTTTGCTTTGGTTGAAATGACGCTTGTTGGTTGGATGTCCTCTTCGACTCCGGGTTTGAGCGGAGGGGATGATGTACCATACAATATCAAAGACCAGCTATGAAGTTTACCTTAAGAACCAAAATAAAAGACAACATTGCTATAGGAACAACAATAACTCCACCGTTGCGAAAATATTAACTTAACAAAAATGAATTGTTGTATCTGTAAGCACGTGAAAGGCTTGGTTATCAAATTGATGTTAATAAAGTTTAACCAACTTCCAAGTCTAACGCGGAGAAATGGAGATTTGTCAAAGCAAAACGAAATAACTCATCCTTCCAGCTTTCCGCAGACAAAATATGTGCTCAAGTTAAAACTACCTTGTTGAGAAAAAATTTCCAGAATGGAAAATAAACAACGCGTATGAAGTAAAACTACTGCACAAATTTTAAAGTAATCCAAAAGTTTGAGACATACAAAAACATATACAAATCAAAGTGAAAATATTGCTAACTCGTGGATACGCTGTTTAGAATTTATTGTAGTTATATGATACAAGAAAACAATATTGTATGAAAGAATAAAGTGGTTTTTCATAGCTCTGCTTGAATGAGTCTTGGATCAATTTAAAAAAATATGTCCAAAAGCTACATCCATTCGGTAGGGTCACCAGGAGGGTGTGAGGGTATTTAGAATTTTCTATCATCGTGGTTTAAAGCGCGATAAATGGCACTAAAACTTCCACCAAATCGGAGGACAAGATAAAAGTAACATTCTGAGAAGTTACATTACTATTCATGCGTGTTGTCTACAGACTTGTCTTCTTCGCTATTTATTAATCGCCACTAAAACTTTGTGGTACAAACACAATGTACACCTTTGTTACCGACGATCCCCGTCCTGAAAAGTACTACGTGTATCCACAAGTTGAAAAACCACAAATGAAAACAGCCACAAGAAAAAAATTACAACAGTAACTAACAACATCTAGTTGTAAAGAATATGTTGAACCTGCACTTGGGTTTCGTGGGTCAGCATCACTAATCTTGAGCTCCCATTTCCCTGTAGGATTCTCTCCCCAGTGAAACAAAGTTGTAATGAACCAGTCTGTCAAGTTCGTGAACTTCTGAAAGTTATCTGCAAAGCGGTCTCGCGTCAATGGACAGGTTGTGTTACTCGGTGACTTTAAATGAAGTAACAAGTCACCACGGCGAGAGAAATTAAGATCTACTCTGATCTGCACGTGTTCCAGGAACTTGATCTCGCAATTTTTCACCTCCACTGAAACTGTATTTGGGATTTGCCTGAAAACGAAAATGTTGTAGTGAGTAGGTTAACTGCTGTAAAAAGCATTTTCCATTGAGCCATAAGTTCTAAAATAACTACTATAAATGTACTACACGCAAAATTTTACCTTATTCAAAATAGCCACCGTATTTGCAAAATATCTGTTAAGAGCTTCACAAAATGACATATATTGTTCTGACGGTACATCAGACAGTTCTCAACTTTTTCAAAAAAATTGATTTGTTCAGCGAAAACGGCAGATGGTTGTTTATATCCATTGGCACATAAATATATATATATACATCTATATATATAAACTACAACGGAAGCGAGGTCCGCGTCCACGTCCTGTAAGTCCGATAGCCTTCGAATATTCATGTGGCCGGCCGTGTAAGCGAAGCCAAAAGGAGTTTAAAATAAAAACTTGCATGTACCTTCCACTCCCTGCAATTTCGCATTTCCGCTGTAGCGGGACTTGAGTCCAGTTCTTTGCTAGATTCACCATCCTGCCAGCGTCCATGAGTCCAAAGCCATAAAACTTACTAAAGTAAAATCCTGCTTTGTTTTGCTGCCACTTTCCACGTTCGAGGAAGACCCCACCCGGCGCTGCTCTTGCACTGTTTGCTATAATATGCTGAACGTCACGCCACATTAAATTAGTACTGAAAAAGATAACAATACACGTGAAATACGAACTTAATCATAACATTTTGTTTGACCTTCGATGTATTCGGTACCAATGTGCTGATTGTTCACAATGGATATTTGCACTCAAATTTTGTCATGGTCCATCTGGAAAATCCTCACCATCTAAGGAAATTATTCAAATTTAATACGACTAGAAGAAGCTCACTCTCACTGACGAAATCCATTCCCATTTTTAGGCTTCCGTCACCATATAAAAGGAGTCGTGGTTATACATGCTCAATCTCAGCTGATGCATGGGCAGGATTTCCACTGGGTCGGGGATTACACTAGTGTTTTAGTAGCATTACCAATTTTCACTTTGTCTCGACATAGAGGCATCATATGCACCTGGGACTCAACCTTCCCCCTTTTTCCTTTGCCAAACTCCTGACTAGTGGTCTACAGGAATAGGGTAAATCATTTTCTGTTCAGCCACTTCCCTCTCAAGTTTAAGCCAATGACGTAATAATCTTACTTTGCTTGCAGGGTTAGTGCAATCAATCCTGATGCGATTGCAGCAGCCGCTGACGATTCCGAGAAATTATGAACACATCCATCCTTGTTATCAACCTTGAGTCGTCTAAATGATATATAAAACTGAATCAGCCACACAACTAAAACAGTCGCTAACCACTGCTCACATAAATTCATATGACAAAATTGAAAGGGTAAAACTGTCTCAAACGAAAACAGAAAATTTAGCAAAACATTGGAGAGGAAAATCAGAAAATTAACAAAAAGCGCAAATGGAAAGTTTGGTAAAGTCATTTGCTTCACAAGTTCTCATTGCCCTAAGAAATGAGATTTCCATTACGGTTTGGCTAACGACAGTTTTGTTTCACTCCACTTACAATAATATGTTTGTCTGAATCCCTGGCGTTTCTGTTTTTGTATGAATCCCAACTATAAGCGGTAGCCATTATTCCGGGGCACTCCTCAGCATAGGTGGGCAGGGATCCATCATGATTCACACCGGTAATAGCAATGGTGTATATACTATTTACATAACCATTGTATGCACAACTGTCTCCCCCTAGGCCTCCATTACCAGCCGCAAACGTGTAGATGGCACCCAGGCCACCACGACCCTAGATTTACACAAAGTTCCAGGCATAAACATTTGTAGAACCTCCAAAGAGTGCGGTAACTGATCACAAATCCACGTGCACATACTCCTTACATGATAAATTGTATGTTACTTTACATCTATCCATTCAGAATATAAGAAACAATCATAGAGGATACCGAAACAATAGCCCCCGAAATTTGCAGGTCAGAGTTCAGTGAACGCACTGTAAATAAGACAGTTATCGCCAAAAAGGAGAGTAAAAAGTAAGGAATCACGTTATCAGAAAAAGATAATAAGACTTTACATGGCCTCAGTATCATGAAAAGGGGAACATGTTTTTGGTTCCGACGGCACTTTAGTTTGGATGTTGTGGCTTCCACAGACCATTCGCAGCATGCTCGTATCTCGAGATCTATTTGTGTATGAACCCAACGCCATCAGGCCAATCCTGGAACAGCAGTATATTGCTGGTAACGAGAGGGGCTCAAGTTTTACCTTTTCCTTTCTAGAAATGCCATTACAATTGTCACCTTGATCCCTCTCTGTACCATTTATCATATCATTTTGTTACCTCAGGTACACCAAACATATTTTTGTTTAGTACCTATATAACTGCGTTGACACCTTTTACCGCTTTTATAGAAGAACCTCATCAATTCGAAAGCACACAATGTGCAACGACCCAACCTCATAAGAAGGAACCTTCTCCAAACTTTAAAGTATGCCACGACTATGGGGTTAAACGCAATTCAAAACGAATGACGAGGATGGACAGAACATCTACCAAATTACACGACACAAGGCCGACAAAATGGTGAAAGGTCTGTTCATTCTCTGTCAGTATACAATACCGTTGTTGTTCCAAGTTCTAAAGCTTTACTGGCCAGCGGTCCAGGACCTTTTACTTCCCAGCCTATGTTCCCAGGCCCCCAGCTGTTGGAATATATGTCAATGTATTCTAGTTTATGTATCAAGGACGAGAGTTGCTGTGCGTCAGTCGACGAAACGCCAGAACCAAAGAGGCGAACACCTGAGACAAAGGAAAGTAAGATTGCCTCAACTTCCTTTTAATGATTTAACGCTTCAAATTCTAATGTTGATTGGTTTTGACATGTCTATGATCAAGCATGATATAGAAAAAAGCCGCGATGACGTTGACCGGGGCTTTTCATCATAACGTTCGAGAATATTTGGCAATCTCTGCGGCATTTTATGGCAAAAATTTTCCAAACCTTAACTGTATTTGATTATCCTCAAGATACAAAGTGGGGACATGCTACATATAAATACAATTACCATTTTAATGACAAATGTCTCTCAAAGATTTTCCCACCTCAGAAAATCTTACACAAATGCTGTGTTAAGAGCTATTTTTTATCAGGTACTACTACAAAATGCGATTGTGCACATACATTTTGGATGGTTAATACATTCCGAATTTTTTCCATTTCCTTACTTTTTGGGGGAGGGAGGGGGGGGGGTTAAGTCATCCAAGTCTATACCCTGACTGACATTAGTTAAAACTTAGTTGAGTGAAAAAGTGAGACTCTTCAACAACCTGTGTAGTATCCTATAGGAGCGAAAAGGCAGTAAAATTAATCTACTAGGGTGATGCTTTTACCTGCAATGCTGGCTTCATAAGCCAGTCCTGTTCCACATAAATCATTACCACGTTTTCCAGCTATGACACCTGCACGTTTATTGCCATGGCTACAAGTAAATTGCATTACGTAAATATTGGTCTCGCTTCCTCACACAACTTTTGGTTTGTGATATCAACTAACACTGAAGATTTTGGTAGATAACATAATCCTTGACCTTCAGAATTCAAATGGTAATCCGATAGTAATGTCTCAATAAATCATCTGAAATTTATATTATTTTATTTCTTGTAGGTTTGAGCTACATTAAGCTGATCTTAACAAGTGTTTGACCTGAAACACTTATCAACTGCAGTATTGATTTACATACAGTCCAGATAATTTCACCCCACAAACTTCAACATCTGACACAATAACATCCACACCCTCCTTGTCCATTACCCACTTGTAGCTATTGGATATTTCATTTCTAATCTTCTAACTGGTTCATTCAACTCCAGTTATCAGCTCACATTCTAAGTCACCTTATATGGAGATGCCTTGCTCTAGGTGTTGTGGAGTTGAAAATTTGGTTTCATAAAGCTCCAAATATCCATATCCATGTTTAAAATTTAGTGAAATTTTTAGTGAAACAACTATTCCATTTGAGCTTGTTAGATATACACATTGGACTAATACTATGAAAAATCTGATTGGCCAAGAACATACCATCAAGATACAATAACATGTGAAGCTGACATGATAACCCATTTTCTGAAGCAGGTACATTATTTGTTATGTCTAAGTTCAGAGTCTGCCTAATTTCCACGCCCCTTATCTTTGAAGTGTTCTCAAACTTTTTCAAATTCAAAAAGAGTTGTCTTCTTTTGCAGATTGTTAAACAAATGTGTAATAAAATAATAATTGAATTTGGTTTTTTGCACTATATCATGACTGGTTAAAAACTCCTACTTTCTACTAATTCACTTGCCAAGTTATTATTGGACAGTTCAATAAGCCAATCACATTCAAAATTGTAGTATAAATCAACCAATCACAACCTTGGTTTCAATCACCATAGAAACAGTGTACAGACCTCCTTTGTCACTCTTAATTAAAATTTACCCTTTTTTTCCAAAGCAGATTGGCCTCCCACTCCACGGTTGTCCAATTTTGTTATCACAAGTATGATTACAGACACAATGGGACTCCACTCAGTCTTATTACCTCTACTTATCAAACCTCATGTCTGTGTTATCAGCCTCAGCCTTTGCCTTCAGCAGATTCAGTACGTATAGTAAATGGTTTCATTGATACATCAACATGTAACCAAGACCTCAGTTTTGATAATTCATGTTATCATGTTCAACCCCATCCAATAATTACTAAGCATTTTCAGTATCATGAAAATAAACCATACATGTTCTCCAAAAAGAAAACCGAGAAAAAAACAATTTATATACATGCATCAAACAAACTTACCAAGGAGCTTTGTAGTGATCATTTAATTTATTTAAAATTTTTTTTGTTTTTTGTTTTTTGTTTTTACTGATTATGATTACACACCCAGCCATAACTGCATACTGGTACCCTGCTAGTTTACTTTTTCCCAACACACAGATACAGTAAATGAAGTTACATGTATGTTAGTTAACAATCAACATACCCAGATACAGATGCTCCATGTTCTGAGGGATGGTTATTCACATAATCGAAACTTAAGTCACTTCTCTGATGAAAAATGTTAAATACAAAATACATCAACAAACAAAAATCTTGGTTTAAGAATGCCTGTCATTAAAAAAAACTTTCATTTAGCTTAAGCTCAAATTTATTTCATTCATAATAAATTGTAATGTGCAGTTGAATACTATTAAAGGGACCAAATTATTCCAAGGAAAATCATCTTCCCATCGGAATACTTATAGAGAAATTTTTGTCTTTGCCTCTAAATAGGATTTGTGTAAACATTTACGTTGTATTCCGCAAGATAAGTATTAACACTGTATAAGTCTCCTGCACTAGAGGCATATCATATGAACGTAAAAAGAGAGATTTGCCTTTATTTCCTTTAGGTTTATCTGTCCTAAAGACAGAACTACCGGTAGTTGTAAATTAGGTCTTTGTCAATCCTTGAAGATCCTCAAAGATCCTGTGAGGTTTTTCACCAGGGATGGAAAGAAGTAACTTTAATGTGTTGGTGTCTTTCCAATCCTCAGTATGAACCTCAGAGTTACAAACTAACATTCAAGTACAGGGGTAAAACAGGATCACAACACATGTTATTCTATCACTGCTGCACTTTTAAATGCAAATGCATGTCAAGCAAATAGCACCATCATGTATGCGCTAATAACCAATTAATCAAGCATTACATATTGCCTTCCCATTCAGCACAAATTAATTTTGTCTAAAAATTCACTTCATTACCAACAAGGCCAATTAGGGTTCTTTTGAATTCAATGTAAAAGAAAAACAAAACATAAGAATGAGCCAAAAATAATTACATAGTTTTCCTTTAGTTCAGGATGATTGCCATCAACTCCATCATCAACTACTGCCACTGTAATTCCTTTTCCTGTGTATCCTGCCTTCCAGGCAGAAACAACATTCAATGTTGGGCCTTGGGATCCCTCAGGTCTATTCTTTAATCCAAAAAATGAGAATAAAAGTAAGCCTGATAAGAAGTATTATCAATGATATTAAGCAATGTCATCCCATACTTCAAGCTGTGATCATTTTAGTTGCCATGGTAGGTAAAATAAAACTTTTAACACCTAGGTTACAGAGAAGGATGTCAATTAACCCCAATTGGTGCTACGTTATCATTAAAGACAAGGAGAGGAATGAAGACACAACACTACCAGTTCTGATCACAATCATTACAATTAAAGTATTCCTAGAGGACAGTTGGACAGTTTTCAAGTAGTTTAATTCCAAAGACACATTTAAGTTATCTGATTAATTTTGCCGTCACTTGAAGTATTACATTTCAACTGTTTTATGGCTGAAATTATAAAATTTCCACTGCCCAAAAAGTAAAATAACTTGATTTGAGAAACAATCCATTCTTAAGAGTCCAGTGTGGCTAAAAGTTTTGTTTTTCCTTGTAGTTTTCCCCTGCCAAGTTTCAAACCTGGGCAAAATATCATTCAGTGGTAAAGTTGATGAATGTAGGGTCTTATCATGACATGTTTTCTTCTCTGACTGATAACTGGCCTTAAGATTGAGGAAACTCTTTGTTTTTCATCATAACCATGTTTTCCATGCCTACTATCCCTATTTTCAGCAGTTAAAATACAAAAGCATGTTTACTCCAGCATCACATCTCTATATACAACAAAATTCTTCCTTCAAAAAAAACTTCAATTGTGTATATTTTGTAAACATAGCATCTTCCAATTGACATTTTTGCAAGGAGACCAGTTCATCAATTATCTTTAATATGTGAAAAAAAAAACCATTAAGCCTTGAGGAATACCTTAACGTGAATGGTGCATTAGCTGCTTTATTTTTTCACCAAATATTCTGTCAAGTTATCTGATAGTGTAAGCACACAGTTGGCTGCAATCGAACACCTGTAATCTGATAGTTTTAAATAAGCAGCCAATCATACTAAGTCCTCTCAGCTAAATCCACCAATCACAGGAATTGATCACAATGACCATAGTAACAACCACTTTCTCTACAAAACTAGGGAATTTTGAAAATGGAGGAGTTTTTAATTTTAGACCATGTCTAAAACAAATGTATTTCTTTTACTTCAGAAGTTGTCATGGCTATAATTTATTAGTAACAAATTTTCTGTTTTCAAATTCAGTCGGTAATGATACTCATGATTGACAAATTAGACTCCCACTTTGTGTTCCTCTGCTTTTGTAATCATTCACAGAGTTACAGACCTAATTGAGCTCATTTCAGAGAGAAGTGGAGATGTCAGCAGTAGAGTGTGTTATGTAATCTTGCATAAGGTGTCCTTTTGCCACTTGGAATCCTTCTTCTGGCAATTCTGTTGTGATTTTAGATTGCCAAATGGAAAATTTGAAATATAAGTTAAAATTAGGACAAGACGATCATCAGGTTCATTATCATTACCATCATTACCATCATAAAATACAAAAACCAATAAAAATGTCTATAAAAATGACTTACAATGTACCAAGGTATTTCAGGGTGTTTATTTGAAAACAGTTTATACTTTTTCACCTTCTGATGCATAAACCACTCAACCTGAATACCATGGAAATAAAATAATTAATAAAATAATCAATAATTCTTAAAATGGTTATTTCATTGAGACACAAAATATTCCATTGCATATTTCTCAAATTCCTTAATATTAGCAAGGCACAAAGTCTGCAAGAACAAGTGTATTATTCAGTCTGACATGCAGAAATGAATTATCTGTTCATTCAAGTATCGGTACATCTCCTTCTCCCACCCAAAAGTTTACATCTTGACTTGTACATGTATAATATAAACAAATGTACCTTTTGCTCTGAAAGCAACTTAATTGCTATCAATCTCCAATGACAGCTTTGTCTTTTGAGAACTTTTAGGCAGAGCAGGTCTTTTTAAGGTATGATAGTCCTCAATGAGCTGAAAAATGTCCACAGAACTAAATCACCCTTATCTTCAAGTACGAAAGTTTTCTCTGAGGGCATGCTGTCAGTAAATTTAGCCCCAATTCTGCAATTGCAGTGTGCAAATGTGAGAGGAAATTATAATGGTCCAGGTTTTTTTTATTTTATTAATTCACACCACTAACAAGATCCTAATTGCAAACTAGTTTCTTGGAAGTCTGAGGAAACTTCTTCTTTTATCTCACTGTTAAGAAAAATGCTGGAAAGTCTGTTTCTGGGTTCCAACTGGTCCTACATCCAGCTGGGAAATGGTTAGAGCTTGAATTATGTGCCACCTTAACTAGTCAGCAAGAGATCTTTTAACCACAAGTGTCATTGTCACAAGGACCAGCACAACATCTAGTATGAAGTGGCATTATCAAGTCAAGTTCAAGTGAAGATGACAAAAAGAACAAATCCAAACTAGAGTTAAACCAGGTACTGCAACTTCAAAGTCAAAATGGCAGATTGCTCATGGCTCACCCTTGTCTTTTCACACCTCATGAGGTGAACAGACCTATCATCAATTTATCACTGACAACTGAAGTGCTTTAATATTACTTTTTAAAATCTTTATTAAATATGCATGACTAAGTTATTTTAATTTCAAATGATTTTTAAAACACCTATTGTAGCTAATGAAGATGTTTCACATTGAAATTTTTCATTTTTTCATTTCATGGCCAAAATCTCAAAAGTACCAATGTAGTAGACAATTACATGTACAATCCTTAAAATTTGTCATATGACCTTCTTGACATCATGTAACCCTGCTGCTGATACTGTGGCTCTGAGCGTGTATTTTTTGTCACCAAAAATCACATTTACTATTCATGTCGTATCACACAATTGCTCCTTGGACTAGCTAATTTAAAAACCATATTTGTTCTGTAAATGTGGAAAAAAGACTTGCATTTGCGTACTTACGACTGACTAAAACATTTTAAGATTTGGAATTTCTCCTAGATAAGCTAAACCTAATTTGACCCAATTGTAACTTGCAATTTTATCAATTTTTCAAAAAGCTTGAGTACACCGGCAGAAATATTCGTCTTTACAGACAATCACAGCCGTGTACGAATAAAATAAGGCTAAATTTCAAGCCTGAAATAATTTCAACTGCCGGTACCTACGGTACCAAGAATTTATTCAG